TTGTTACCGTGAAAAGAACCTGTTTCTCTGTTTACATGGTGGCCCCTGTTGTTTGGTGTCCTGGTGACCACGTACACGTCCCCAGGGACGGGAGTGTAGGGGTGTAGGGTGGGAGGGGTGAGGAGAGGAGGGAGGGGTGAGGGAGGGAGGGAGAGTGTGAGGGAAGGAGAGGCTTCAGAGAGGGAGGGAGGGAGGGTGTGAGGGAAGGAGAGGCTTCAGAGAGGGAGGGAGGGAGGGCTGTGACTGGTCCGGCGAGGAGGGTAAACAGAAATCTGGGCCAGACCATGATTGTGCATAATATACGCACAGTAACTTAATATATCACTTATCACACACACACACACACACACACACACACATATGATAGGATGCAGGATGATAGTAGGAGCATGATAGTAGGAAGCTACAGGACGACCTAGACAGACTGAATGAATGCCCAACAAATGGCTGTTACAGTTTAACCCGAGTAAATGCAAAGTAATGAAACTAGGCAGTGGAAACAGGAGGTCAGACACAGGATACAGAATAGGAGATGAAGTACTTAATGAAACGAAAAGAGAGAAAGATCAAGGAGTTGATATCACACCAAACCTGTCTCCTGAAGCCCACATAAAAAGAATAACGTCTGCGGCATATGCGAAGCTGACTAACATGAGAACAGCCTTCAGGAACCTGTGTAAGCAATCATTCAGAATCTTGTACACCACATACGTAAGACCAATCCTGGAGTATGCGGCCCCAGCATGGAGCCCGTACCTTGTCAAGCACAAGACTAAGCTGGAAAAAGCTCAGAAGTATGCCACTAGACTGGTCCCAGAACTAAGAGGCATGAGTTACGAGGAAAGACTGCGGGAAATGCACCTTACGACACTGGAAAACAGAAGAGTGAGGGGAGACATGATCACTACCTACAAAATCCTCAGGGGAATTGACAAGGTAGACAAGGATGAACTATTCAACACTGGCGGTACGCGAACAAGGGGACACAGGTGGAAACTGAGTACCCACATGAGCCACAGGGACGTTAGAAAGAACTTTTTCAGTGTCAGAGTAGTTAACGGATGGAATGCATTAGGCAGTGATGTGGTGGAGGCTGACTCCATACACAGTTTTAAATGTAGATATGATAGAGCCCAGTAGGCTCAGGAATCTGTACACCAGTTGATTGACAGATGAGAGGCGGGACCAAAGAGCCAAAGCTCAATCCCCGCAAGCACAAATAGGTGAGTACAAATAGGTGAGTACACACACACACACACACACACATGGGGCCTAGTGGCTGAGTGAACAGTGCTTGGGATTCGTAATCCTTCTTCCGGGGATCGATCCCCCGGCTGTGGCGGAAATAAATAGGCAGAGTTTCTTTCACCCCGATGCCTTTGTTCAACTGTCTAACAAAGTTAGACAGCTTTGTTCAGCTGTCTAACTCCCCAGTAAATAAGTTCCTGGGAGTTAGACAGCTGCTATGGACTACTTCCTGGGGATGTCTGAGTGAGTGAGTGTGTGTGTGTGTGTGTGTGTGTGTGTGTGTGTGTGTGTGTGTGTGAGAGAGAGTGAGAGATGTGTGTGAGAGAGAGAGAGAGAGGAGAGAGAGAGAGAGAGAGAGAGAGAGAGAGGAGAGAGAGAGAGAGAGAGAGTGAGAGAGAGAGAGAGAGAGAGAGAGAGAGAGAGAGAGAGAGAGAGAGAGAGAGAGAGAGTAGTTAGTAAACAGTTGATTGACAGTTGAGAGGCGGGCCGAAAGAGCAAAGCTCAACCCCCGCAAAATACAACTAGGTGAAAACACACACACACACACACACACACACACACACACACACACACACACACACACACACACACACACACACACACACACACACAAACAACTTGTAACAGGTGTCTAACTCCCATGTTCGTATTTATTGCTAGGTAACAGGGGCATCAGGGTGAAAGACTTCCCATTTCTTTCCATCATCGTCTGGGATCGATCCCCGGTCCACAGGACTACGTATCCCGAGTGCTCTCCACTCAGCCACCAGGGTGTATGTGTGTGTGTACTCACCTAGTTGTGATTGCAGGTGTCAAGCATCAACTATTAAGCATCAGCGAACATCAGCAGTTCAATGCAATACCTGTTGAATTATTTTCCCTATCATTTTATTTATTTATTTATTTATTTACATTTTACAATTTACTAGTTTACATCCAACCAGCTCTCGTCTCACTCAGTTTTCCCGTCAGATTTCCTCTCCCCTAACTCTCTCTTCGGCTCCCCTCTCCTCTACCCGGTTCCTGCCTCTCTCTCTCTCTCTCTCTCTCCCCTTGGTACCCTGTGGTGACCCCAGGTGACCCGAGCCCCAGGCGACGACGGGGACGACTCCGACCCGAGGGACGTAACCTGACCAGTGTTGCCCTGGCCTGATGATGCTGCCCCTTTGTCCTCTACCTCTCACTCACTATACCTGACAGCCTCAGCCTCAGCCTCAGCCTCAGTCTCAGTCTCAGTCTCAGTCTCAGTCTCTCTCTCTCTCTCTCTCTCTCTCTCTCTCTCTCTCTCTCTCTCTCTCTCTCTCTCTCTCTCCCTCTCTCTCGCTCTCTCTCTCTCTCTCTCTCTCTCTCTCTCTCTCTCTCTCTCTCTCTCTCTCTCTCTCTCTCTCTCTCTCTCTCTCTCGGTTCTCCGAGTCAGTGTTTGCTGACGGTAAAATTGAGAGAAAAACAGAAACATCTCATGATGACCCTAGACCCACTAGAGAGATGAGTTGAAAAAGGGACAACACAGTAACTAATTTCTGAATCAGAAAAAGAAAAGACGAGTAGACATAACCCCTAGCAAATCAGAAGAAGCAAACCTTAACGGGATCACATCAGTGGTGTATGCAAACCCAGAGAGAGAGAGAGAGAGAGAGAGAGAGAGAGAGAGAGAGAGAGAGAGAGAGAGAGAGAGAGAGAGAGAGAGAGAGAGAGAGAGAGAGACGAGGAGTTACTATAACGTGGCTGAAGATATCAAGACTTAACCTTACACCAGTAGATGAGACGACGACGTTTCGGTCCATTATCAAGTCGATTGTCATAATCGACTTGATAATGGCCCAGGACGGACCGAAACGTCGTCGTATCCTCATCTTCTGGTGTGTGGTTAGTTTTCAAAACCAGAGCGTACAACCTTTAGGACCACACAGACAGTGCTGAAATAAGATGCATCAAAAGGTGTGTAGAAGCCTCTAAGGCAAGGCTCAGGAACCTTCCGTCACAAAATGTCACATTTTACTAAAAATTTATTATTTATATTGTATTTTCTTAAATAAAGATAAAAAAAAAAATTCCTAAGGTCGCACAATGCGCTGCATTCATTCAGATATGTAAACAACAAACAGATCAAGTGTTTCATTAATATAAGTGGGTTTTTGAAGGGCGCAACCCTCCCCCCCCACCGTGCTCTAATGAGCTACAGAAAGACATAATTGGTTTCTAAGTTGGTCTGAGGCGGGACAAGTGCCCCCGAAGGTAGATCAATCAAACTTTCATAGGTGGGGAGATTGACTAGGCGCTAATCGTATGTACGCCTCTGTTCACCCAGCATGGATTGTATACCTGGGTGTTAAACGATTGGCGGGTCGCGTTCCAGGGGAAACTTAACAAAAAAAAAGTCACTAAATAGTTTTAATCTTGTGCCTAATTCGAGATAAAATATCATAAGCACCTTCAGATGTTTTTGTAACTGCTAAAAATTCAGCTTCAGTCGCTTCTGCGCTCAAGCGGTAGCATATGCTTAAGCAATTACAGGCATTTTTTTTAGCTTTTTAAACTTCCCAAAACAGGTATTGTAGAGTATTTATGTAACAATTAATGGGAGAAGGTGGGGCCGGGCACGCAACACCCGCCTTTACAAATACAAATACAAATATTTATTCAGGTAGAGTTAGTACATACAATGCCTAAAGCCACTATTACGCAAAGCGTTTCTGGCAGGATACTGCGTGTAACGTTCATATTCCTCTTTGAGACTAATGTCACAACGTCAAACTGTGGGCCAATGATCCTTTCTCTTTAAACTCCCTCCTGTACCCATCACACAAAGTCTTTATCACTTTATCACCTCCTGTGCACGAGGATGATAAGCTCTACTGTCGCAGCCTGACTTAGGGCCATGCAGCCTCTCCTGGTGATTGTCTGTTCTATAAGGCTGTTTGTCTCAACCAGATCTGATAACAAGATCAACCAGATCTGATAACAAGATCAACCAGATCTGATAACAAGATCAACCAGATAGTCTTCGTAGCCCGCATGATCATTCATCACAGCCAGGCTGATAAGGAACTGCAGTGAAAAATTATCCTGTTACTTGAAAGTTTAATCCCCCCCCAGCGACATTTCTTAAATTTGTAGGCAGGAGACCGTTTCACGTGATACTAACTTCACATTGAGACGTGTACAGCCAGAGAGGTGATGACGAGCCATACACATTCTGCCACAGACGCAACACAGCCACAATAGTTGATTGATTGATTGATGAAGATTAAGCCACCCAAAAGGTGGCACGGGCATGAATAACCCGTAAGTGGTGGTCCTTTTGAGCCATTACCAGTATCAAGAGCTGATACTGGAGATCTGAGGAGGTGCGACTGCACCCTGCGTGACGGGAGATGTTTCCCAATAGTTGAACAACGGGCACATTAACAACAATTACGGGCTATTCATGCCCGTGCCACCTCTTGGGTGGCTTAATCTTCATCAATCAATCAATCAACAACACACGGGAGACATCTCCCGTCACGCAGGGTGCAGTCGCACCTCCACAGATCTCCAGTATCAGCTCTTGATACTGGTAATGGCTCAAAAGGACCACCACTTACGTGCTATTCATGCCCGTGCCACCTCTTGGGTGGCTTAATCTACATCAATCAATCAATCAACAACAAGTCAGTGCAAGAAACTCACCTTGACGGGACTCGGGACCGTTTCCGCTCTCACCTGTAAACTTATAGTGAAAGAGAACTACGAAAGCTATTTACGGTACCGACCGTGGAGCGCAGCGAGGTCGTGGTGGTGATGGTGATGGTGGTGATGGTGGAGGGAAGGGTTGTAGGCGGAGACGTGGGCGGTGTTGGGGACGGTGGGCGTGTGTCCGTGGTCCTGCGCCACGCCCATGTAGCCGCTCACACCCTCACTCCCAGGCGGCGTTAGCGGACCGGGGGAGCCTGAGGAAGGGCCGCCAGGAAGACCAGAAACATTACATATAATGAAAATAACAATAGTGGAATTAATTATAAAAAAACAGCAATAACACAACATTTAGTTAAACAAATCCACAAGGGCCGTGACGAGGATTCGAACCTGCGTTCGGGAGCATCCCAGACACTGCCTTAATCGACTGAGCTACGACAGTGCTCAGTCGATTAAGGCACTGCCTTATTCAGTCGAGTAAGGCAGTGTCTGGGATGCTCCCGGTCGCAGGTTCGAATCCTCGTCACGGCCCTTGTGGAATTGTTCATTTGATGCATCACGTTATTGTGATCTCTGTGTGTAACATTTAGTTGTTCCAGTAACTGTGTCACTGGCTTCACAAGACTGTTACTTGCTTACCTAAATGAACTGTTAAATGAACCCATTAGCTAAATAATGGGTTCAGGACCTGCACCCATTATGTGCCTCTGTAACCCTTCCCACCAGCGGTATGGGGTGCATAATAAATGACTTACCAACCTACCACTACTTCTTCCCACTACTTTAATTTTACCCATTTCACTTGAAGATCTAACACGCTAATACGGATAAAGTTATTTCGATATTTTTTTTACTGTCTCTAGTGTCCATATATGTCTCCTCGTTTCACTGTTCCTAGTTTTGAACATTTGAACATTAATTCCCATTTGAACTGTATGTCGCTCTCAAGTTTCCCATGTTCCGCCTATTTTTCCAGTGTGGTGAGGTGGGTGAGAAATTCTGTTCCTTCAGAATTTCCCATTGCTCAAGCCCCTCAGCTCAGGAACCAGTCTTATTGCTTATCTTTGAACATTTTCTTGGTTTGTTTTATGTTTTAAACAGGTGAGGGGTTTCATTCCGGGTCTACATACTCAAAAGTGGGTCTCGTATGGTTTTTATTATTTAAATCAAGAAACGGTATTTTGTCCATTTGCTAATTCTCTCCATTCTGGTATCTCTAGTCTGTCTTACTGTAACCCTAACCTAACCTTTCCTAGAGGAACTCCCTCATCCAACTTAGAACTGTGCCAGATATACCAGTATTAAAGCTTTATGTGGACCAAGCATTAGAGTGGATTTAATGAGGTTTTTAATGTCTCATATTGACATAAAATGCAAGAAAATTATAAATACAATAATTATGCTACTTTCTGATTACTTTTTTTGTGTGGATAAGCAGGTAGGAGGGCTACTGTGTGAGGATAGGCTGGCAGGAGGGCTACTGTGTGAGGATAGGCAGGCAGGAGGGTTACTGTGTGTGGATAGACAGGCAGGAGGGTTACTGTGTGTGGATAGACAGGCAGGAATGTTACTGTGTGTGGATAGACAGGCAGGAGGGTTACTGTGTGTGGATAGACAGGTAGGAGGGTTACTGTGTGTGAATAGACAGACAGCAGGGATACTGTGTGTGGATAGGCAGGCAGGAAAGTTACTGGGTGTGGATAGACAGACAGCAGGGTTACTGTGTGCGGATAGGCAGGCAGGAGGGTTACTCAGTAGACAAAATATTGAAGTTCTTGCGAGGCAGGATCAAGTATAACATTTGGGGTTTACGGCTCATGCTCGGTGGTAATATGGAAAATTGGTTTACTAAGAATTATATAAAATATATATATAAATATAGTATTTTCCCTTGTAAATTGATGTAAATATGATAAATCAATAGAGTCAGGCAGAGTGCCAGAGTTTTGGAAAGTTGCTAATGTGATACCAGTTTTTAAGAAAGGAGATAGATCACTTGCGTCTAACTATCGACCAATTAGCCTAACGTCTATTGTGGGAAAGTTACTCGAATCTATAATAGCAAATAAAATTCGTCTTCATCTTGAAAAACATAAATTAATAATTGAGTCGCAACATGGTTTTATAAATGGCCGTTCATGTTTAACAAATTTGTTATCTTTTTATTCTAGCATTGTTGAGGCAGTTGATAGTGGTAAGGATTGCGATGTTGTATACCTTGACTTTAGCAAAGCTTTTGATACAGTGCCACATGAAAGACTGATTAAAAAAATAGAGTCTCATGGTATTGGGGGTGCTATATTAAGCTGGATTAGGGCATGGCTATACCAAAGGAAACAGAGAGTTAGTATAAATGGAATCAAGTCAGAGTGGGAAAATGTTGTAAGTGGAGTGCCTCAAGGCTCTGTCCTGGGACCTCTGTTGTTTATAATATATATAAATGATTTAGATTCAGGTTTGAGTAGCAACATTTGCAAATTTGCCGATGATACGAAAATCGGTAGGGAAATTAATTCGGAGGAGGACTCACTATCACTTCAAGTTGATCTAGATAGGGTTTTGAAATGGTCAAAGGATTGGCAGATGCAGTTTAATGCTGATAAATGTAAAGTTCTGAGGTTAGGTAATGATGATAGAGTTACAAGATACGAGCTAGATGGTGTTGTGATTGCGAAGTCGGATTGCGAAAGGGATCTGGGAGTTATGATTAGTAAGAATTTAAAACAAAAGGATCAATGCATAAATGTTCGTAATAAGGCAAATCGGACACTTGGATTTATTAATCGCAGCGTTAGTAACAAGACACCTGGTGTGGTTCTCAAGCTATATCTTGCTCTAGTTAGGCCCCATTTAGATTATGCAGTTCAGTTTTGGTCGCCATATTATAGAATGGATATAAATTCACTTGAACGTGTCCAGCGTAGGATGACTAAGTTAATTCCCCAAATTAGAAATCTTTCATATGAAGAAAGATTAACAAAGCTTAAGTTGCATTCACTGGAAAGGCGAAGAGTTAGGGGTGACATGATAGAGGTTTACAAGTGGATGAATGGACATAACCGGGGGGATATTAATAGGGTATTAAAAGTATCAACACAGGACAGAACACGAAACAATGGATATAAATTGGATAAGTTTAGATTTAGGAAAGACTTGGGTAAATACTGGTTCAGTAACAGGGTTGTTGATTTGTGGAACCAATTGCCGCGTAACATTGTGGAGGTGGGGTCCCTCGATTGTTTCAAGCACGGGTTGGACAAGTATATGAGTGGGATTGGGTGGTTATAGAATAGGAGCTGCCTCGTATGGGCCAATAGGCCTTCTGCAGTTACCTTTGTTCTTATGTTCTTATGTTCTTATGATCTTTGTATTGTATATTATATAATAAAGAAAAATATACCAGCCTGTCTCCCCATCTGCAGGAAGAGTCTTGTGTGAGACATTGTCAAATGTTTCAGAATAATCCAAAAATATGCAATCCACCCATCCCACTGGCGTCTGATTATCATAATCTTCTTGTAGAATTTGTGTTTATTCTACTGTTAAGCACTACATCGAGTGTATGTTTCCTCAGAATGTTACTCTCGAGAAAAGACTTGTTTGCTTAAGACCAATCAACATCTAGATGGTTATTAAGTCCAACATAATAACTTACTGACCAACCAACATGACTACTGTACTTTAGTCTTGAACATGCAGCTGTCCAGGACTGTACAACTAAAGTACGAAAAAATGGATACATCTCTCTCTCTCTCTCTCTGTATATATATATATATATATATATATATATATATATATATATATATATATATATATGTCGTACCTAGTAGCCAGAACGCACTTCTCGGCCTACTATACAAGGCCCGATTTGCCTATTAAGCCAAGTTTTCATGAATTAATTGCTTTTCGACTACCTAACCTACCTAACCTAACCTAACCTAACTTTTTCGGCTACCTAACCTAACGTAACCTATAAAGATAGGTTAGGTTAGGTTGGGTAGGGTTGGTTAGGTTCGGTCAAATATCTACGTTAATTTTAACTCCAATAAAAAAAAAATTGACCTCATACATAATGAAATGGGTAGCTTTATCATTTCACAAGAAAAAAAATTGAGAAAATATATTAATTCAGGAAAACTTGGCTTATTATGCAAATCGGGCCTTGCATAGTAGGCTGAGAAGTGCGTTCTGGCTACTAGGTACGACATATATATATATATATATATATATATATATATATATATATATATATATATATATATATATATATATATATATATATATATATATATATATATATATATATATAATTTTTCTGCCAAAATTAACTAACACATAAATTCAAAAGTTCAAAGATTTATGAAGATCATTAAAATTTAAAAGACTAGGACAATAAAAAATTAATAATATTAATATTATTAGTAGTATTTAAAAATACTAATATTAATATAGTAATAGAATAATAATAAGAGAAAATATATACAAAATATAAAATAAATCATAAAAAAGACCTAACAGCACACTCCAAGAAGACAAAAAATCAACCCGTCCTCAGACCAAGTCCATTCCATCCGGCGGTCGACCCCACAGACGCATTCAACAATTTTAACTTACTGTTCAATAAAAATAGTAATTTTCTCAAATACAGTATAAATTAATATTATATATTAGTATATTGTGCATATTTAGGCACTGGTTAGGTGTTTAGGTTTTGTTGGCGATTATTTGTATTTGTAGTACGTGGGTGAAGCATTTTCAGCGTTGTGGTTCGAACAAAAGTCGTCAGTGAAGCACTTGTTCCGGAAGTGTTCGGACATGATCAGTTGTGAGTCGTGTGTAAACCGGTTTTCATTCATAAACAGGGGGCTTGGCGGGTGCATGGAATGGACTCTAGGTCTTTGTTTGGAGGACGGACTGCAAAAATTAGTGTGTGAACAACCAACCCGTTCTCACTCTAGGCTGGTTAAAGCAGCGGCCGTCCTCCCCAGACGCATTCACCAATTTTAACATTCTGTGTATTAAAAATTGGTTTGTTCTCATATATAAATTAATATTCTTATATATGAAAATTGTATGTATAGTTTAGCGTAGGTTAGATTAGGTGTTTAGGTTCAGTTGGTAATTATTTGTATTTGAAATTCGTGGGTGAAGCATTTATAGAATTGTAGTTCGAACAGAGGACGTGAGCGAAGCACTTGTTCCGGAAGTGTTCGGACGTCATCGGTTGTGAGTCGTGTGTAAACCGCTTTTCATT